GTATGCAAGGCAATGCAGTGTCCTTCACATGTCAGAAACTTATAAATATCCATCCAACCGTTGGAGGTCAAATGTACCATTACACCCTCGTTTTTGAATTAAAATATACATGCACATCAAAACATAGGAGTAACAAAGAAATTTTGCATTTATGGTGGTTGACTCCAATATTACAAGTCAAATGTTTTTACAAATAAATAATTGTGCACATCAATCACATCAACACGTGGGCCACAAGTTTAATGAAAATGTGGAACAAAACAATGAGATATAACGAGGGTCAAACGGAGGCTTAGTTTTCAACCCCTTCTTTCGACTGAGTAGACTAGCCATGGGGAGATAAGAAATGCGGTTTGACGTTCAATTAATCATTCAATACAAACTAAAAATATCCTATTCATGGATGATCAAGACTGGTTTGGAAAACTTGTCAACTCTGTTTTCAGCATGGAAATGGAATTCATTTTTTTTTTCTTTTGTTTTTTTTAGAGATAAAACAAATTTCATCAATTAACCGAATTAGACACACTATCCAAGGTTCAACTACAACAACCATATAGGCATCCAATGTTTTCGGATTCGAAAAAAATACTCAACGATTCTACTCAGTTAGCGTAAAAAAGAAAACCCACAAAAAAAATAACACTATACAGGTAATTACTGCATCAAGACTACTGAATTCAAGATCACAATCCATTTGCACGATTAAATATAAAGAGAAATCAGGATTCTCCTAATCCAATTCATCAAGAGCAAAATTAAAATCAGAACAAGCAATTAAAATAATATAAAAATGGGTATCGATGAAGTTACTTAACCAAACAACCATACGCAGTTACTGAAAAAAAGAAGAAAGAAAAAAAAACATAGAAATGCTCATTCAAGAACATAGATAAAGAAAAAGAAAAAAAGAACAAAGAATACCTTGATAATGAGATAAGGGAATTGTGACTGCAGTCAGATGGAGAGATAGAATTGGAAATACGAAGCTTTTCCGATTGGCGTTACGATAGTTAATGAAAGACTTTGTTTGTCTGTGTGAGGTAAATTGTGCCTGTAAGGTGCAGTGGGGGAAAATTGCACCATTAGTCACCAAGCCCTAATCTTTAAAATATATCGTATTGGTTTTCATTATTTCATGAATATCTTTCAATATATTATTTTGAGCTAAACCGTTAAAATGGTCATGCGGTCCCAATGTGTTTAATTTTATGAAGTTTTGTTTTTTTTTTTTGCATCTTAAACCGATACCTATAAAGTCAAAGTGAAACATGTTTTCACGAGAATCGCAAAATAATTTAATGATTTTTACCGATCTCAACAGACAAATCTCTTGTTTTTTTTAGTAATCACGAACAATGGTCATCGGTGTCAATATAGATATCTACTTAAAAGAAGAGCTCACAAATTTGTCAAATTAGTTGGAACATAATACAGAGACTATGAAAATCACGACTTTCGAGCCAATCATAATGCTCATCTTCCAAATCGAAAGACAAAAGGGCTCAAATAGCAGTTGCGACAAGCATAGGAGGAACAGTCCAATGCACGGGAGTACTATAATCTCTACTTAGAATTGATTGTGAAATTAATACATATGTAAAAAAAAAACAAAAAAAAAAAAAAAAAA